AAGTGAAACCTACTAAAATGAGTCTTAAAGTCAGCCTTTGTTGCCAAAATACTTGAGAGTGCATTGGTCATTTATTTTTCTCCATTCTGGGTAGAAATCAGGGTTCTCTTTTCCTAATGGAAACCCCAGGACAGCTTACATTTGGATGTCATGTGCCCGTTTGACTTTTAACCAAAACACTACCTTTTCACACAGTGACCCATCATCTTCTCAAAGGTGGGCGGCAGTTGTGAGAGATGATGAAAGTCATCTCAGAGGCACAAACAGCATTTTTGAACTGACACAAGTCTATCTGGTGTTTTGCACCTGTTGGATTTGGTGGCCTCTGTGATTTAGAGGAAAGGGAGGGCCATAAGTTCTTTGCTCCTGAACCTCACTGCCAGGTGGTTTGTTGAAACAAAAGCAGAGCCCAAACTGAATTCTGTGACATAGAAAACACTGACACGAGTCATAATGCACCAAAGCAGCCATAAAACCTGTCTCATAAGCTGGGGGAAGTCCTAGCTCTCCATCCTTAAGGCATGTTGACAAGTCCTTGCAGGAGAGATTAACTCAGGACAGCAATCTGCAAAAAGATCAGCTCCAGGGGACAAGAAGCCTTCTTGGCAGGCTGTAAATGTTCTATTTTTTGATCCAGCTGATGATTATATGAGTACTTGCCAGTGTAACATTTTGTATATGCACTTAAGATTTGTGCACTTCAGTATATCTGTCATTTCTCAGTAAAAAAAAATAAGGTGTAAATAAATGATCACCTTAAGTTATTCATAGTCTGTGAGTTGAGTAATTATCATATATTGTTCAAGCCCACAAACCCTTTGAATTAGAGGTTTTCCATGGAAGGATCTCCAGGTGGAGTGAAAGCACTCAGGGCCTCCTGCTGAGGCCTCCTCTCTGCTGACCCTATCCCATCCCTGTGGTATCCCCTAGAGTGGGCAAAGTAGTTGCCTCCATCCAAGTGACCATCTTGGCACCTGGGATATCTTAGTCTTAGGCTACCGTTGCCTTCATTCTTTATTCTTCCCTGTTTTAAGTAGAGTCATACATCGCTTAATTTGGGAGATATCGTGAGAAGTGTGACATTAGGTAATTTCATCGTTATTGTGAGAACATCATAGAGTGCACCTAGCAAAGCTGGATAGCAGAGCCTACTACACACCTAGGCTATGTGGTATGGCCTGCTGCTCCTAGGCTACAAACCTGTATAGCATGATACTGTCCTGAATACTGTAGGCAGCTGTAACACAGTGCAAGGACTTGTGCATCTAAACATAGAAAAAGTACAGTGAAAATACAGAATTATGGTCTTATGGGAACACTAGTGTATACGTGGGCTGTCACTGACCAAAACACCATGATATGGCATATGACTATATACCCTTCTTTTGGAATTTGACTTCTTTCACTTTTTAGGCTGCTTTTGGTGGTTTTAACCAAATTCCTGATAAGGCTAGGCAGGAAGGTTCTGGGGGATGAAACAGATTTATTTCCCTGGGCAACAATCCCAGACTCCACTGCGGGGCTGGGCATGGGAGGGGCTGTGGGTCCCCCTCTCTTTCTTTCCCAGAAGGGGAAAGGAGGCGGGGTAAGGGTCGCCAGGGAGTCGTGCTGGAAGAGGCCTTAGCTCTAAGTGTCAACTTTGATAGCGATTGGATGTGGCCTGCTAAGCCCTGGCTGTTGCCTCCCAAGTGAAATTCCGCAGAGCGAAGAGATAAGAGTGACTCTGTATCAGCTGCCTCTAGGACAGGGTTGTGATATTTCTGCTTTGTCGGTTTTAGAATTCCTGTGACTTTCATTTATAGCCCACATTTCTCTCCATTTACATTGCACACACCCCCGTCTCATCCCAGACTCTTGTTCTACAGACCTCAGTCTTGAAGAAGAAACAAAAGCAAAACTTGCATACACAAACAAACCCACCACGGGTATTCCTAATCCACTGTTGAATCCGTTGCCATACCAGTGGCTGCCCCCTCCACCGTAAGCACAGACACACTGCATCATTTGGAGCCCCCTGTCAGGTTTTTGGTTTTTGTTTTCTCTTTCTCAAATAGCAACAGACAACACTGTTATTAAATGAACTATTCGGTGGCTCACGCCTGTAATCCCAGCACTTTGGGAGGCCGAGGCGGGTGGATCACGAGGTCAAGAGATCGAGACCATCCTGGTCAACATGGTGAAACCCCGTCTCTACTAAAAATACAAAAAATTAGCTGGGCATGGTGGTGCGTGCCTGTAATCCCAGCTACTCAGGAGGCTGAGGCAGGAGAATTGCGGAGGTTGCGGTGAGCCGAGATCGCGCCATTGCACTCCAGCCTGGGTAAGAAGAGCGAAACTCCGTCTCAAAATAAATAAATAAATAAATAAAAATAAAGAAACTATTAATGTATCTTTACAACCTCTCTTGGTACTTTTTAGACTGCATTTGCTTCAAACTTCAAGTACACTCCTGTAAGTAAGGCTGACTTTATGAAGAGGCTGGTGCTGGTTTGCTTTTAGTATTACTTATTATTGGATCCATTACTAAATGAATAGAGATCTGGGGAGTTATCTAAGAGTAACATGGGAGCTGAGCTCTATGGCTCTCGGCACCTTAATTTCATTTTCTGAGATTTCGATATTTCTTTTTGTTGTTTTGATTTTAGATTATTGCTTTAACATACTCTTTTTTTTTTTTAAAGAACTAAGTGTTAATGAAGGCATAGGAGATGAGTATTTGATAATTAGCCAAGTTTGATATAGTATCATATTTAACTAGCTAGTTCCTAGACAAATATATGATACTCTTTACAATTAGACTGTGTGAACTTTAGTAACTGAATGGGTTGGGTATGATTTTTTTCTTTTTTCTTTTTTTTTTTAATGTTGTTAACATGCTTGGGAAAGTTGTAGAATTTACTTGAACTTAGTGTGTTAAATAAAGTCCTGATTTTCTGAAGGCAAAACCAAACATGTTAGTTACTCTTAACCCAGGGCTGTAGGAGAAGCCAGTGATAGTAGAGTCACATTTCTCCTCTTTGAAAACTAGAAACTCCTCCGTCAGGGCAAGACTCCGCCAAAAGCTGCAGGTGGCAGTCCAGCTGACTGCTTGTAGAGGCACCCCACCTTTGCCCTTCTCAGTCTCCTTCCCCACCACAGACACTGTGCCATCTTGGAAATGCGAACCATGCTGTAGGAGGAAATGAGATGTTGCCTTTTCAGAGCTTGATACCTCCCTCCTGATTCTTTCTAGTTCAGCTCTCAGGTCTCTTGGGTCTCAGAGATGGGGCAACAGCTGTTATCATCAGACCTGGTCACCAGGGAGGGGTGTGCTCATTTCCAGCAACGTAGTTAAAACGCTGCAAAAAAACTCTTAGTTCAGCCTCCTGGCAGCTATGCCATAGGGCAAATTCCCTAACTTCTCAGAGACCCAGTTTTCTTCTCCATAAAATAATGATACTCCACTCCATCAGGCTGTTGATTAAATGAGACAATGCTTGTGGGAATCCTTAAGAGAGTGCTGGCAGTAATTAGTATATACTCAATGAATGATCATAAGTTTTCTTTAAATATGCTCATAGACGATATGGAAAATTCTACTTTACCCCCTGTGGTTATTTGTCACATCAGGTTGTAGTTTTTAAAGATTTTTCCAAAAACCTTTGGGAGAACAAATTCTCTACCCTACTCCCAGAAAACCAGAAAGAACTTTAAAAAAGCTTTAATAAAATTCACCTTTTTAACTATCTTCAAATGTACAATTCAGTGACATTTAGTACCTCCACAATGTTGTGCACCCATCACTACTGTCTAGTTCCAGAACATTCTTTTTTTTGAAACAGAGTCTCACTCCGTCACCCAGGCTGGAGTGCAGTGGCATGATTTTGGCTCACTGCAGCCTCCACCTCCCGGGTTCAAGTGATTCTCCTGCCTCAGCCTCCCGAGCAGCTGGAATTACAAGGGGCCCACCACCACACCCAGCTAGTTTTTGTATTTTCAGTAGAGATGGATTTTGCCATATTGGCCAGGCTGGTTTCAAACTCCTGACCTCAGGTAATCCACCCACCTCGGCCTCCCAAAGCATTGGGATTATAGGCATGAGTCACTGAGCCTGGCCTAGTTCCAGAACATTCTTATCACACCAGAAAGAAACTCTGTAGCCGTTAAGCAGTTGTCCTATTCTCCCCCAGTAACCACTAATTATTGGCCTTCTGTCTCTATGGATTTGCCAACTCTGGATATTTCATATGGAAACATATGATGTTTGTTTTTTGTGTGTCTGGGTTCTTTGACTTAGCCTAATGTTGTCAAGGTTCATTGATGTTATAGCATGTATCATTTGTTCCTTTTAATATCTGAATAATATTCCATTGTATGTATACACCAGATTTTGTTCATCTGTTTATCAGTTGATGGACATTTGGGTTCTTTCCATCTTTATTATGAATAACATTGCTGTGAACATTGGTCTATAGCTTTTTGTTTCAGTACCTGTTTTCAATTCTTTTGGATCCATACCTAGGATTGGAATTTCTGGATCATATGATAATTCTGTGTTTAAATTTTTGAGAAATAGAATAGCTACCAAACTCTTTTCCACCATGGCTGTGCCGTTTTACATTTCCACCAGCATGTCTGAGGGTTCCAATTTCTCTATACTCTTTCTGACACTAGTTATTTACCATTAAAAAATTATGACAGCTATCATAGTGGATGTGAAGTGGTGTCTTACTGTGTTTTAAGATTTTTTATAATACTAATTTTGTATGTGTCTGGACTTAAATTTCTCCATTCATGTTCTTAAGCCTCCCATATTGCAAAGCTACATGCGAAATAACCTATACAAAATTCCCAATAAGAGAATGGCGTAAAGCTTCTTTTCCTTCTCGGCCCCTGCTGTAGCTAAACATCGTGGGTCTGTAATCAATCTGTAGTATGTTTAAGCTACTTGCAGACAATTTGTGGCAAATTAGAGATGATATCTGATGCCTCTGACCTTCTCTCTAATTTCTGTTTTTTAGGTTTTAGGGTTTCCTTTTGGCCACCCAAAATGCTTTTTAAACACATTGGATAGGAGCTGAACCACCTGCCTCTCAATACTCTCAGCTCCCTTGTGGTCGGACTGCATTTTGACTGTCTCGAGGCCAAGTGACTTGCTGCCCATGATGAGTGATGAGAAGAACCTTGGTGTGTCCCAAAAATTGGTGTCACCCTCAAGGAGCACAAGTAGCTGCTCTTCCAAGCAAGGAAGTCGACAGGTAAAGTTTAGCTCATGCGAATTTTAATTATGCAAATTTAAGCCATCAAGTTTGCTGGCTAAAATGCATACAGTTACTTGGGAACTCCTACTTCTCAGTTTAAGAGCATTTGCTTTTGGTTATATCTTGACTGTATGAGGAGAGTAAATTCTGTATAATTTTAAGAATGTAGCTTGAGTGCCTACCAGGTAGGAAGCACTGCATTTGGTTCTTCTTATAATTTTATTTAATTCTTGCAGCTGCCCCCCAGTGTAGATATTAACATCTCCGTTTTTTCCACGAGGAAGCTGACTCAGACTGACCAGGTTACTTGCCCAAGAACACACAGCTAGTAAGTAGCAGAGCAAGAACTAAAGCTCAGCCTGTTTGGCTTCAGAGCCCACACTTTCCTTTATATCCTGCTAACCAAAACAAAAAACCAGTCAATCATTTTTTCCAGTGATTATAATATCCATCCTGACTTCCTTCCCTTTATCAAACCTTTATGGCAGCTTGTAACCACAGACTGCCCTGTTAGTAGCTTGGAGTCTCACCTGGTTTTATCTGTAATGGATGAGGGAAACTAATCTATAGAAAAATGGTCTAAAGCAATTAAGTAGGAGGGAGAAAGAACTGAAACAAAGAATTGAATAATTAACTCCTAAATAACCGTTGGTTAATTATATATTGTTTCCTGGTTTCCTTTCTAATAAATCTTTGTTGGCAGCATTTGCTTGTTTTAGATCAGTGGCAGTAAATACGCATTAATCATTATAATTCTTCCTCCAGCAGTTAGGTGGAAAGAGAATGAGCTGTCAGAAGTCTGAATTTATGACCAAAGCGGTTTCTGAACTGAGCCTTTTCAGCACCTGCTGGCTCTATTGGCATTTCCTTTTCATCATGGGAAGTGCTGGCCTTGGGAAGCACATGGGAAGTGTCTTTGGTTCCAGAATTGGAAGCAACAATTAAGCAACTCCCACCTCAGTCACTTCCACACATTTATGACAAATCATCAGGGGTCTCTCCATCTGAGCGTTGCCTGGGATAAGGAGCTTTGCCGCTCATGAATCTGTGATTCCAGGAAAATTAGATTTTGCTACAGGCCTGACATTTGGGAAGCCCTCCAGCATCTCCCCTGAGGGATTAAGGAGGAGAATTTTGTCAGCACTGTCATCAGTTCCTTCTGGGATTAAAAAAAAGAGAAGACTAAAATTAGTCATTAGCCAATGCATCATGGCTCCCCGGGTTCTGTTTTCATGAGGGTCACTATGCTTGTCTTCTTTGTCAGGTTTCCACAGGAGTTTTCTCCCTAAGCCAAAATTCTGGTTGGGATTAAACAGCATGTGGTATATTTCCTACCCAAACCATCTTTCTTACACCCAGGGATTGTTATGTCCTTCTTTGATAAAGGGGGAGAACATGATTCATTTAAATAGCAAGTGGTGATTACACCATAGGAATTGGAACAGTACAATGAGATTCTCAGATCAAATACTACAGAAACTTTTTTTAGGGTGTTATTTGGAATCAATTTGGTTTTCACAAAGCTTTTTTGGAGGTTATATCACAAAGGGTAAGCAGAAGGTGCTTGGTCCCTTAACTTATTTCTGACTTGGAATGCTTGGTCAATCAGTCACTCATTCATCAAATGGTCATTTGTTTATATTTAGGGTCTTCCACTTTAATATGCATATAATGTGGCTTTATAAATGGAAACACTTTTTCCTCTGTGACAGACAGAGAAGGTGGAGAATTTAATAAGTGTATTTCAACTTCAGCCTGAAGTTACTTAAAAAGCCCACGTTTGATTTCTAGAGGTCGTTTTCTTGGTCCATCTGCTTTCTCAACCTTCTGTCAAAGAAAGGTGTTCTGTGTCAGGGTATGCTTAGGGATTCCATCCACGTGGCCCACCTTGACTGCCCATACCCCTTCTGCCTTTGCAAACTGGCCCAGGATTGTGCTTCAGTCTTTAAAGTGCTGCAGAGGCGCAGGAACCTTTGAAGCTCTCCTCATTTACGGCACACAGCCATCTCTGATGGTCTGTTGGCTGCTAAATATAAGGATGAAGCTGTGTTTCCAGTCACGTCACTGAAGAGTAAAAGTTAAATACTTAAAACTTCAAGATTTACATAATAAGCAATTTAATTAGAGGAGTATGAAAATATAACTGAAGATAATCTGTGCAAATACCTAGTTGTATTTCGAACACCAGTTTAAAGTCATTTTGAAATTGATCTCTTCATTTCATCTGGAGGGAATATATCTGATGTTGATTTTATTGGTCATTTTTCTTAGTGCTGGCTTTTCTCATGTGCTCTGGAATTTCGGCTCAGAGCTTCATCTAGAGATGAACATACCCGTGACCCCATCATAGTTAACATACCTGTGACCCCCTCATAGTTATCTTTTTGTGCGTGTGTGGTAAGAACATTTAAGATTATAGCCAATTTCAAGTATATAATGCAGTTGTATTAAGTGCAGTCACCATGCTGTTACATTAGATCTCCAGAACTTATCAGTCCCTGGTAACTATCATTCTACCCTGTTTCTATAAGTTTGACTTTACCACATGTAAGTGAAATCATGCAGTATTTTTCTTTCTGGGCTTGGTTTATTTCACTTAGCATAATGTCCTCCAGGTTCATCCATGTGATTGCAAATGACAATCTTTCTTTCTTTTTTAAGGCTGAATAGTAGTTCACTGCATAAGTTTATGTACCACATTTTTCTTTGGAAATATTTCATCTTGTTTTTTATCACACAGACACAGAAGAGCCCTCTGTGTTTATAACTTTGCATATTTTTGCCATATTTGGAATAAGGGTGGCATTTTGTATATTTTTGCTATATTTGGTATGAGAGTGGCAATAGGAAAGGGACACTAAATGCATGAACTTGAAATGCCATCTTAGCTGGAATACATAGTTTTCTTAAGTCCTTTTTACTTAAGTTCTTATCCAATATTGCCAAGTGACCTTGAGAGACTCTGTATTCCAGCCACACTGGCTTTCTTTCACTTTCTGGAACTGAATTTTCTTTTGTCGTTGTTTCTTGAACTGAACTTAAATTTGAACCTGCTCTTCCTATCTCAGACCTGTTCATATAAAATCTCAAGGAGCTATGCATGTATGTATAGATACTCCCCTGCCTACATATCTTTGTTAAAAGAGCTTGCTTCCTTGAAGGAGAAAATGATTGAGACCTAGGTGCTCATCACAATCTGTGTTTTCATTTTCACATCTGACCTAAGACAAAATGTACAACTTAGTGCCATGAAAACCCTAGGAAGAGGGCTCTGTCATCTTTTAACTTAAATACTGGGGCTCCTGAGATTTTAAAAACATACGCCTCACTTTGCCAGTATGAAAACAACCTGTCTATAAAATCTCATCAAGATAAATTGAGGAGAAAGTATTCATAGTGATTAGAACATTAATTCTCCAATCTTGGGTCCACCCATTAATTGGTTCTATGACCTTAAACTCTTAAAGCCTCAATTTTTTCATCAACAAAATTGAAATAATAATAGTTCTTTTCTCGCAGCGTTGTGGTGAGGATTAAAAATAAAGCACTTATTCCAGGGTCAGACTCAGGATAGGCGTGGAGTAAATATAAACATATGTTTTTATCATTATAGTTAACATTAATTCAACCTTCATTCTTATTTGTGAAAGTTCTGAATGTGCATAGTGAATAGTTCTAGCTTTTTTTCTCCCAGGAACTTTTTACAGTATCATACATGTACCCACTCATACCTTTTTAGTGTTGTGCAAAAGCCCACTACAATACACACTGTACATGTGAATATATACTTTTAAAATAAAAATTACCTTACTCTACACATTAACAAAATGCTTTTTTAAAGAATACATTAGAATGTTTAATATCTGAGCTACATTTGACATCTTTAGGCATAACCTATACCTTAAACAAGTGAAAATAGTTGATGAATTCTTACCCCATTCTGCTAGGCCTTGCCCTTGCTTGGGTGGTAGTTGGTTTTCCCCTCTCTCCCCCTGCCAGCATCTGTCTATTGGTATTAGCTGCACAGAGCATTGTGTTAAGAAGGACTTTGCAGCTGAGTCTGCATTCAGGGGAAAGATTGCCCTGTTTTTTGCTGTGACTTGTGGGCATAAGGCAGGGAGAGCACAGCATGGGCACTGTGTTTGTCACCCCTTTGTGACAGAGAGTTGTTGAAATCAATAGCTCTCTGTTGCAGTTTTTATATTATGTTATTGGATGAACTACAGGCAAGCATAAGTTGTCTCAGTTGTCCATTCATAAAATGGAGGAAAAACTCATCTTCTGCTTTTCCCTCTGGAATGTGGTGAGAGAAAATTGAGAATTTTAAAAGACATTAAAAGTCTTTGGAGAAAAGTCCTCTGTAAATTTAAGAAACTGGTATAATTACAGATGAGCTGCCTCTACTTTGGCCAGTTCTGGAAGCAGAAGACACTTGGCCTTGTTTCAAGAAAGGTGACACTCTGCAGAATTAGTTCTTTTTGGAGTAGATCACTTTTCAGATACTTGCCTTTACCATAGAGGAATCTACTTTTCTTGTAGGAACTAAAGGGACCCTGCTTATTAAAAAAAAAAAAAAAAAAAGGCTATTGGTCCCTCCTGACTGTCTTAATCATACCATGTTATTTGTAGAGTTATAAGTGGACCTTCAATGTTCTTCCTTATCCCAGGTTTTGGCTGAGCTATTCCTTTAGCTAGAATGATCCATATGAAACCCTACTGCCCATTTGAATTATGTCATTTCCTTTGCAATAATTTTTTTTACTGCTTTAAGCTTTTAAAATGATTTTTATAAAAATAAGATTTTACTCATTGTAGATCATTTGCAAAGTAAATGTGAATTGCTATCCTTTAATTAATTTGTTTTTAAATGGCTGCTGACAGGTCAAATAAAATGCCTGAAAATGACCATGGGTTGTGGAGGTCATTGGTGTCATTGTCATACAGTTTCCTTGCAGTCTTGATGGTGAAAGGCTGATCAGAATAGATTGATGAGAGAC